CGGTCTGTCCTTCATGGGTGGAGTACCAAATTTCACACAGAGATTTCTACTTTATGTAAAAATCCTTGCCTTCTATTTTTATGGGACAATAGGGAGATACATTTTAGAAATCTTAGTCCTGTAAGTTAATTGAAAATTACAATTACGGTAACAATATTTTGATAGTCTAGTATTGTAATATTAATGGAGAGAATGCTTATTGATTACTTAGATAAATTTTCATCACAATGTTTACACCAAATATGACATCTGTTATTTGTTTTATGTCCGCTGATAACGCGGGGAAATAAATTATATGTCCAACTTTGTCATGTGAGTTTCCACCATTTAACCCGGTATATTACGGACAGTTACCGAACTGCATCCTATCCAGTTCAACTTTGAATGTGCAACAGAAATATTGTGACATGTCTAACCGTTGCTGGGCAACGGAAGGTGGAACGAGTTACCACGAAGACAGACCTTTGATACACGGTTCATGTTCATGGCTTAAAAGTATTACCTTAATATATATGCGCTAATAAATGAAATAAAATGTTAATATTCTTTCGTGTTTCGCAGACGATGAATAGAAATAAAACAGATATGCATACCGGCATTTGTATTATTAGCGTGACGAGTCACGTGCACTTGAACCGAAAATAAGTACGACACATGAAGTGCTCTCACATTAGTACATTGCTTAAATCAGATTTACGCGTTTCCGCATGCGCAGCGCTCTCCGTTAGTCAGTCTGTACTAACAAAGAAATTCAAGAACGGTCGAACGTCTTTCATGGTACTTTATGTTGTAGGGGATTCTAAATTGTTGTGGGAACATTCAGATTTTGACAAAAACCGTGCCAATATGAGCGACGCTTTGCCTGAAGACCTACCTTGAGCGCACTTGTTAAATACTTGTCGGAGGGAGGCGCCCAGAGTGACATCCGGAGAGAAACTTTACAAACCGTCACATGTCCAGTGCACTCTGTCCCTGTTCTGTTTTTCGATATAATTAAGGAGGCGTGTCCGGTTATGTCTGGATTTCCTACCTCACATTCAGCAACGAACAGTGGGGTTACAGAAATAATTGAAATTACCACATCCAGTTTTCTCGACAACAATTAATGAAGTATCTTCTTCACACATGAATATATTGCTCTGCGTGAGACCCGAGTGTTGTAGTGAAATAAGGTATTGTCCTGATATATTGGGTTTTTGGACTTTATCCATCGTCCTGGTTTTTAAGATAACTAATAAAAACACGACGTTTCGGAAACTGGATCTGTTTCCGTCCTCAGGTGAAGGAAAAACCTATTCTGTTGGGTCCGTTAGAAAGAGCTAGCCTCAATCACTGGACAAACCGATGTCACAAACAATTTGCATTAATATGATTTTATATGACCTTCGTTTGTTTTGTGCACAATTTCGTTACGTAATACGTACATATAATGCAAGTGGAAAACCATGTGCAGCTCGCGAACCGGTGTGCGCCTTGAAAACGTATCAGTGGTGCGGAGAACCTTGTTTTGCAGACGCTGGAATTTTAAAAACTGGATATCTGCCGCACATTTCCAGAAGATAAAAGTGTAAGTCATTACTGGCCCAATTTGTGCTTTGCGGAGGGTTATTTTAAGGTTAACCCTTAGTCGTCCACTTTTGAATAGGGAGTAGTTTCTAATAAATATTCTTAAATTCTTGGCTTCCATTGTTTGTATATGCAGTCTCCGTGTAATCCTATTTAAGTTTTGAGGTTTTCACTGCAATGACTATGAAGAAAGTCGTCTTCTGGGATCTGGCGCCATGTATTCTTGGTTTTAACCGACGTTTCGGAGGAAAATATCGCCTCCATCTTCAGGACAGGTGAGTCGCGTTGCGAATACAGAGAGCAGTAGCTGCAATGATTGGGAAGTGAAAAGCGCTGGTTTATATGAAGTAGGCAGGGGGCCTTTGGGAGAGGGGACCAATGGGAAGAGTGAACAGCGATTAAGGCCATATATGGTCTGGAGGGCGAAAGGGGGGNTTCCCCCTCCAGACCATATATGGTCTTAATCGCTGTTCACTCTTCCCATTGGTCCCCTCTCCCAAACCCCACCTGCCTACTTCATATATAATCTAGCGCTTTTCACTTCCCAATCATTGCAAATACTGCTCTCTGTATTCGCAACGCAGTTCAACTGCCCTGAAGATGGAGGCGATATGTTCCTCCGAACCGTCGGTTAAAACCAAGAATACACGGCGCCAGATCCCAGAAGACGACTTTCTCCATGTAATCCTGTTAGCGAATATTACATCATTCACGAAGGGGACATTCCGGCCTTTCAGTGTGAGTCGAACTTCACATGGTATAATTAAATAAGAGAAATAGAAAGTTTGAGACTTATCTTCATCGATTTAATTTTTCAGCCCTTACACCACGCTTCAGTTGANTTCCCTAAAGAGAAACAGAATTTTCGCTCACGTAGAAAGGAGATAATGGGCTTCATTAAATTTGTCGAAAAATCTTAATTTTTGTAAAATGTGTAACAAGCCATGGTACCATGTATTATTGAAAATGTTTTTTCGATATCCAAGAATACCACCGCCATACCAGTGCTATTGTCACGTGGTCCGTTAGCCTCATACATTGCTGTGTCGTGTTAAGCCGTGCACGGAAACCTAACTGACTTGCATTAAGCAGGTCTCTCGCCTCAGAGTGACTTGAATAATTTTTGGAACGACTTTTTCGAAGAGTTCGCCCGTAGCATACAAGAGACTTACCGGACGTAAATTTTGAGGAAGAATTATGGTTCTGAGGACGGAAACAGATCCAGTTTCCGAAACGTCGTGTTTTTATTTGTTATCTTAAAAACCAGGACGATGGATAAAGTCCAAAAACCTAACATATCAGTGAATTATGGTTCTTACCAAGTT